AGAGAGAGAGAGAGAGAGAGAGAGAGAGAGAAAGTGTGAGTGGGAGAAGGGCAGAGACAGAGGAGGAAAGAGGACCCTAATGCAGGAATTACTTTTATAATCTCTGTAGTTTAAAAATTATAAAAGGAATAAAGAAAATTAGTGTCATCATAATAGAGGGGCACCTGGGTAGGTTCAAACTCATAAACTCATAAACCATGAGGTCATGATGTGAGCCAAAGCTCAACCGACTGAGCCACCCAGGAGCCTCTAAGTTACTTTTGTTTAAAGTATTAATAAAACTTTAAAATAAATAAGTTGGGTACTTCAAACACAAGATTCAGTCAGAAGGAACATTAATTTAAGTAAAATAGTTCTTGATAACTTACTACTATTATGATTTTTTATTTTTTTATTTTATATTTTTTAATGTTTATGTATTTTTGAGAGAGGGTGCGAGCAGGAGAGGGGCAGAACTCACAGACTGCTAGATCATGACCTGAGCCTAAGTTCTACTCGTAACCGACTGAGTCACCCAGGTGCCCCATATTATAATCTTTTTTAAAAAAATTAATTTTTTTAAGGGGGGGAGAGGCAGAAAGGGGGCGGGAAGGAGAGAACTTTTTTTTTTTTCCCCAACGTTTTATTTTATTTTTGGGACAGAGAGAGACAGAGCATGAACGGGGGAGGGGCAGAGAGAGAGGGAGACACAGAATCGGAAACAGGCTCCAGGCTCTGAGCCATCAGCCCAGAGCCGACGCGGGACTGGAACTCCCGGACCGCGAGATCGTGACCTGGCTGAAGTCGGACGCTTAACCCACTGCGCCACCCAGGCGCCCCTGGGATGGAGAGAACCTTAAGCAGGTTCAAGCACCGGGCTTGATCTCACAACAGAGAGAGAGATAATGACCTGAGACAAAATCAAGAGTCAGATGCTTAACCAACTGAGCTACCCAGGTGCCCCTCTATTATGATGACACTAATTTTCTTCATTCCCTTTTTAATTTTTAAACTACAGAGACTATAAAGTAATTCCTGAGAAGCTGCCTGTTATTAAAATTTTAGGTAAAATGGTTCCTAACTTCCTCCTCATAGGTGACCAACTGGTCATCCTTCCAAGCCTTTTCCTTTGCACTTCCACGTAGACACATGCATATATTATATATTGACATATTTACAATTGTACACATATTTTGATATTGCTATGTGACTTTCTGTGTAACATGTTGAAGATTTTTGCTACTATTATTAAACTAGGAAAATTATTATTACATTTAGTTAAAAGTTGGACTCTGATTTTATTTTGAGAGAGAGCATTTCTTTGAGATAGAACACATGTGCAAGCACGGGGGAGGCGCAGAGAGAGGAGAGAGAGCAGGCTCTGCACTGTCAGCACAGAGTGCGATGCGGGGCTCGAACCCATGAACTGTAAGATCGTGACCTGAACAGAAATCAAGACTTGGATGCTCAAATGACTAAGCCACCCAGCTGCCCTGGACTCTGATTTTTAAAGTCTCAACGAAGTTTTCCTGCTGGCCTACAGATGAAACACCAGCTAAGGCGAAATAACCTTATACTAATAAGTAGGTATCTGTAGTTCATATTGTGCAGGGAAACACTGAAACAGCTTTATTTACTAAGGAAAGATGTGGGGGTGAGGAGAGGGAGGCTCTTCAACAGGGGCAGTGGTCTTTGAGCTACTTTCTGTGCAACTCTGGGAGACATACTTGACCTACTCAAGTTATAAATCATGATTTGCCATTAACTAGTTCCATCAAACATATCACTGGTCTTTTATATATAGGATTACAAAAATCTCTGGTTCTCTAAACCTGGAATTACTGAAATTTGGGTTTGGGTCTAAATGTGCTTCTTGGGCTTTGCCCAGCGCAGCAGCTCATGGTTCTCCAGTAAACAAAAACAAAATCAGTGCATGTAAGGCATGGGGTTTAGGATAACTGATTCCTAGTTCAGTTATTCTTTCTGTTAACTTCTGACAATAAACTTTTTTCTATATATCAGTTTCTTGATCTGTGAAACAAGGATACTATTAGGTAGTCTGTAGCACTGTATTAAGGATTAAATTAGATGCTATACTCAAAGTACATCGGACACAGGTGTCCAACAATGTTGATCGTCACCCTGTTTCCTGCAAAGAGTACTTACAGAAGCCGAAAAGAAGGATTTTAAACAATTGTTTTAAATTGTGAATTTGGGCATAAAAATACCCACAAGTAAAGGATTTGTGAACTAGTTTCTGCTGCAGATTATAACTAGTATTGGATTATTAGTCTAGACAAAGGAAAATGCTTGCAACTGGGAATCTATTAAAAATGCAATCACTCCTGAGTTGAATTTTTCTAATGAACTACAAGAGCAGTTCTGCTAAGCAAAAGACCGTTTACTACATCTACTTAACATAGTAATCTCCTGAATAAATAATAGCTTGAAACTATTTAATAAAAATAATTTCTAGTTTACAGAAAAGTGGCAAGAATCATATACCCTTTACCTGGATTCCCTCATTGTTAATTGTCCCATTTGCATTATCTCTCTCTCTCTCTCTTTAAATACATGCGTTTTTTTCCTCAACCACTTAAGAATAAGTTACTTACAACACATTTTTTACCCCTAAATTTGGATTTCCTAAGAACATGGACATTTTCTTATAAAATCAGGAAAGTTTTCAACTTCAGAAAATTTAACATTTTTATGCTACTTCATCACCCATGGTCTAATTTTGTCAACAGACCTATTACTGTTCTTTACAGCAATTTTTTCCCTCTACTACGAAAATCCAGACCAGAATAGCCTATTGCATTTCCCTGTCATGGTTCGGTCAATAATATGTGATGCTGTTATTTACAAGAGATTAGAAAATTAAACTTATACTACAAAAATGCAATTGATTAAAGTTCTGTTCCAGCATTTTATGTGTTCTTTCCTTTTCAGTAAAAAAAGGCGTGTTAGCAACGCTATTTCTACAGTTTCAAAGGATTTATCAAAACAATCTTTAAATCTCAAAAGGAGCAAGGAAAAAAGAGAACCTCATTAAAAAGGAAGACACTAAATACCAATTCCAACAAAACCGTTGGGCTGAATTCTATGCATCTTTGACACTACTTCAGAACTTAAGACAAATCAAGAAGGAGACACTCGCAAGTGGTTACTGTACTTACCCCTGGAGGTTAGTGGGAACATGGGGGGGGGGGGAGGAGGCTGGTAAAGTGGTATTTCCGCTTTTCATTCTAGAAATTTTTGTAGTGTTTGAGGTGGGTTATTTATTTTTTTTTTTATTTACCATGAGCACACATTTCTCATTTAATAATAAAAAAATAAAATCAGAAAGATAAAGAAAACTAGATGCCGGGCTGCATTTTTGATGTACGGGGTTAACCTGAATATCGAAGTTCATCCGTTTGTACTTTGGTTTCTTCGCCTGAAGATGGTGACACCTTCTCCTAACTTACGCAGGGAGACGCCAGAAAGGTTAAGTAGTCACTAAACTACTGTTGCAGGGAGAAAGAGCCAACAGAAATGTTTGTCACGGACCAGAGAAACGTCTCCCGTGGGCCGGCTGGCAGAGCGAAGGTTAACGGTCTGCCTTGAACAGACCAGAAACTCCAGCAGAACGGCCCTGGGTTTTAGAGCGTTCATTCTGCAGCGGGCAACAGGGGAGCCAATGAAAGTCACAGGCACCCGAGGCAGAGGGAGAGGACGGACGGCTCCCGGCGCGCGCGAGCTGAGCTGAGGGCGCACCGGGCTGTCAGTGGGACAGGAGGGACGCCGGTGCCCGCGCGCCCGGGGGGCAGCTGCCGTCCGGGTCCGCGAGTGGGAGAGCCGCTCCGGAGGCGCGAGCCGGGTGGGTCACACCTACCGAGCGCTGGGCACGTCCACCGGCCCGAGGCCACCGCCGCCGCTGGGGCTGGCTAGCACGTCCCCGCCGTATTTCTCCTCCATCCCGGGGCTCAGGAGCCGCCGCCGCTGCCCCCGCCGCGGGGTTTCCTCATGTCTCACCGCTGCCGCGGAACAGCGGGCGCAGGCGCGTCACTCCCCCATGATAGCGGCCCCCTCGGGTACCCACAGGCCAGGCCGCCGCCGCCGCCGCCGTCCCCGGCTCCTGCTCACTAGCACACGCGCGTCGGGACTAGGCCGCGGGCAGTTCCGGCGGCGCCGGGCTCCCCCGAGGCGCACCGGAGCGGACGTTGCCAGGCCACGTCATCGGGCCCAGCAGCCCTCACTCCCGGGGGAGTGCCCAGCCCTGCGCCTGCGCATAACAGAACACTCGCTTTCTCTTGCCCTTCCTTAGGCACCGCCTACACGGGTGACGGGATCGGATCGTTTCTCGGGATCAGCTCCTCGTTTTGACGCTGCCATCGCGCTTACCTGTCCCTGCAGCGCCACCTCTGTGCCGTCAGGAATACAGCCGATTCTTGTAGCACCGCGGAAGAAGGCATAGAAAATGGACAATGTGTGATCGAATACAATACAGTATCTTTTAAAATTTGGCTGCTAGACTATGCTACTTAATCCTGGTACATCAGTAAATCTTGGGTAGGGAGGACCAGGCCTTATTAGGGTTGTTTTTTTTTTTTTTTTTTCTGTTGCTAAAAATTTAGGAACGTGAGCTCATGTGTCTGTCAGTTTCAATTGTAACCCTGACACTTAATAATTGGTCACTTGGCCTTTCTGTACCTCAATTTTCTTATTTGTAAAATAGGGATAGAAATATGTATGTCATAGGGTTGTTGGGAAGATTATATGTTATGTGAAAATGTCTAGAACATTTTGAAAGGTACACAGTAATCAGTGAATGTTAACTGTTATTATTACTCATAGGGGAATTTGTGGACTGGGTTGGGAGATGGAATGGAGTTTGGAGCGGTTTACAATACTGTGCTTAATTTGAATATACATAAAAAGTCTTAATAACCTATAAAAGATTGAGAAATCACTGTCTGTGCCTGCTCTGGCTTCATAATCTATTGTGGAAATATTTAGCAGTTTGCGAGCAAGGCCTGGTTCACCACAGTAAAGGTTAAAGGCACAAATGCTAAGATTTCCCAAATAAGGTGTGATATGATTATACCTAGAAAAGACTCACTGCTAGACAGAATTTGACCTGAAACTTGGATAAGATTTTAGATGTGGGAGGAAAGCACTGTGGGATGACACATCCCATGTATAGAACACACAAGAATGGATGACTTAAAAAAATTTTTTTTCAATGTTTATTTTTGAGAGAGATTGCACACACAGTGCCAGCAGGAGAGGGACAGAGAGAGGGAGATATAGAATCTGAAGCAGGCTCCAGGATCGGAGCTGTCAGCACAGAGCCCCATGCAGGCCTTGAACTCAAGAACCACAAGATCATCAACTGAGCTGAGGTTGGACAGTTAACCTACTGAACCACTTAGCCGCTCTGTGGAATGCATGACTTTAAAAGCTAAAGTGACTCCAGGGGTGCCTGGGTGGTCCAGTTGGTTAAGCATCTGACTTTGGTTTAGGTCATGATCTCATGGTTCTTGAGTTGAGCCCTGCATTGGGCTTCTGCTGTCAGCATAGAGCCCAAATCAGATCCTTTGTCTCCCTCTTTCTCTGCCCCTCCTGCAGATACATGCGCACGCTCTCTCTCTTTCTCTCTCTCTCTCTCTCAAAAATAACTAATAAACACACACACACACACACACACACACAAAAGAAATTCATTAAAAAAGAAGCTAAAGTGACTCCAAGTGACTTTTCTCTAGCAATTTTTGTAGAATTTTTATTTTCCAATTAGCGTGGTAGTGTTAACAAGTAACTATTGTTTTTCTAGAGCAAGTTCCATTCTTTTGGAGCCCAGAAAACGAGGTAACATGACACTTGTGAGCTTGAATTCACTTGATATTTCTGATTTGGTTAGAATTATGGCACTTTTCTTTTAGGCCGATATAAGGACATTTCCTACAACTGTGGAAGTTGTAGTGGAAGGACAAGTGCCTCTATGCTATTTCCCTTTGGTCACTTCTCAATCCATTTCAACCTAGCTTCTCCATCCATCAGTACCCTGAAATAGCTCTCTCATGGATATTTTTGAGCCATATATTACCTCACCCCTCTAAAGCTGTCGACATAGATGACCTCTTTTCTTGAAACATTCATTTTTGTTGATTTTGTGAACTCCACAATGGTTGTCTCAAAGGAAGCTCAAGTTCTTTATGTTTCAAAGCCAGTGCGTGATCTTTCCCATAAACCTGATTCTCTTCTAGTGTTTTCTACCTCATTGAATGGCATCATTTATTTAGCTTAGCAAACCAACAACTTAGCTATCATCTTGAACACCTCCCCTTCCTTGTGATCTATATTGAATCCATCACCAATTCGTGTCATTTTTTACCTTCTCAATATTTCTTGAATCAATCTAAATTTTTCCATTTCCATTACCACCATCAAGTCTAGGCTACCATTAACTTTTGTTTCAGCCACATTAGTAACCCATTCCAATTTTTTTTAAGTAAAAAAAAATATTTATTTTTGAGAGACAGAGCGAGCAAGAGAGGGGCAGAGAGAGAGGGAGACACAGAAATCCGAATCCAAGGCAGGCTCCAGGCTCTGAACTGTCAGTGCAGAGCCTGACGACGTGGGAATCAAGCTCACCTGAGCTGAAGGCCAAAGCTTAACCAACTGAGCCACCCAGACACCACAGTAACCCCTTACTCATTTTCCAAGTTCAGTCTGTTACATTATCCAATCTGTTTTCCACATTTTGTCATAGTATGGTAATATTTTCCTAATGCAAATCTTATAATGAACTGCCTACCCCACTACATTTCACCCTGCAGTCTTTCAGTGGCCTTCTGTTACTCTTAAAGAAATTTTTTTTAATGTTTGTTTATTTTTGAGAGAGGAGAGAGAGAGAGCACAGGAGGGGCAGAGAGAGAGAGAGGGGACAGAGGGTCCAAAGCAGGCTATGTGCAGACAGCAGAGAGCCTGATGCAGGGCTTGAATTCATGAACTGTGAGATCATGATCTGAGCTGCAGTCAGACGCTTAACCAACTGAGCCACCCAGGCGCTCTTTCCATTACTCTTAAGGGCCTCCATTACAAACTTGAATCAATCAGGAATTCACACTGATACCTCCAATTACAATCCAACTGTAGATGTTTCATTCTAGACTTTCCCCTTGTATTCCTACCTCTCTTCCCTGAGAATGAGAAACATGGCTCCCGTTATCCTCAAAATATTGCCTTATTTTCTCAGTCTTCTTGTGTGTAACCAATCTCATGATCATGTAGGTCATCTCCTCTTTGGCACAGCCAACTCATGCTAGCCTGGGAGGGCTGAGACTTCTCCCTCCCAGCTTTTATTTTTTAATCTACATTTGACTCATTTGCACACAGTGACAAATATGGAGCTGAAACATTTTCTTTCACTTTCACTTTCCATCATCTGGAAGGAGCAAGAAAGGGAACTAAATTTTTGGAGTGGCTCTTCTAAGAACCAGGTAATCTCTTATTTAATTTTTCTTTATTAATATTTTTAAAGTTTATTTATTTATTTATTTTTGAGAGAGGGAGAGAGAGAGAGAGAGAGAGAGTGCCAGCATGGGCAGGGGAGGAGCAGAGAGAGAGAGAGAGAGAATCCCAAGCAGGCCCTACACTGTCAGTGCAGACCCCAATGTGGGGCTCAAACTCACAAACTATGAGATCATGACCTGAGCAGAAAACAAGAATCAGAGGCTTAACCGACTGAGCTGCCCAGATGCCCCTCATTTAATTTTGAGATCCTTTCAAGGTTGGCATTATTTTATGCTGCAGAGTTAAACTCAAAAAGGGTTAAGTAAATTGTCAGTTATTATATAACTAGGAAGGCAAGACTACCCCCTAGAATGGCAAAGTGCCCTTCAGTGTCAGCTGTTTTACTCCTTTCTTCCTGATCGCATGAGTGACAACTGACTCCAATGTAGTAAGAGAACCAGATGGGGAGCGCTTGTTTCATAAACCACTTGTGGGAATCTTGATTAAAGAATATGGTGGACGTTGTCATAAGGGGCAACTTAGCACCAGCTTCCTTCCTTCCACTGAATTTTGTTGAGGGCTTACCATATTCTAGGTCCACTTTCAGGTACTTGTTGCATTTCCCAGAAGCAAACTCTGAGGTAAGAATTTGAATAAAAGTGACTTACTGGTAAATATTCCCAGGAAAAGCAGGAGAGTGGGAAGGAGAATAGGAAAGAAAGACAAGTAAAGATGTGATATCACGAAAAGTCCCACTGGGGAGCTTGGATACCGTGAAGATCACATCTCAGAGGGTCCTGATGGGGGTGAGCTGTCTTAGTGCATCTGGGCTGCTATAACAAAAGTACCATAAACTGGGTGGTTTATAAACCACACACATTTATTTCTCCTAGGTTTGGAGGCTGAGAAATCCCAGATCAAGATGCTGGCAGTGGCAGTGTTAGTATCTAGTGAAGATCCACTTCCTGGTGTCACCTTTTTGCTGTGTCCTCACATGGTGGGAGAGGTGAGCTAGCTCTCTGTGTGTTTTTTATTTATTTGTTTGTTTTAATGTTTATTTTTTTATTTTTGAGAGAGAGTGTGAGTGGGGGAGGTGCAGAGAGATGGGGGGACAGAGGATCTGATATGGGCTCCATATTGACAGCAGAGAGCCCAATGTGGGGCTTGAACCCATGAACCATGAGATATGACCTGAGCCAAAGTCGGATGCTCAACTGACAGCCACCCAGGTGTCCCATCTATGTGTGTGTGTTTTTTTTTTAAATAAAGGCACTAATCTGAATCATGAGGGCAGAGCATAATAACCTAATAACCTCCCTAAGACCCAACTCTTAATATCATCACCTTGGGGGTTAGCATTTCAACATAGGAATCTTGGGGGAATACAAACATTCAGACCATAATGCAAGGGAATTGGGATATTTGGGGAGTTCTCTGACAATGAGAGGATGTTACTGGTT